TCACCCATAGTATCACTGCCAGGTCGAGATGCTATGGTATCGATCATCAGTTCCAGCGCCCGTTCTTCTAGTTATAATATGACCATCTTGATTGTAACAGCATTGTTCAGCAGCTCCATGCTCATTCGATCCCACCGATGGAAAACATGGGATAGCATTATCCGCATTGAATTGTGGTCGACCTTGACGAAATCAACAGTTAACCGACATGGGCCCATCTTCTTTACACATTGCATCAGCATCATATTGACCTCTTGCTACTTTTGCTTGTCAAAGAGTGTTCGGACAGGGTAGAAGGTTTTTATTCTACGTCGAAGAATTCTCTTGAATATGACTCCAAATATTGCAATCGATGTTCGATGCCGCCTGAATTATTTTCATAGTTGTCTTGACTATTTTATAGACTCGATATACGACCATCGCAACACGAAAGACTCCAATGGCTATGCCTACGGTAGGTATGATAAGTTGATGTTTTCATGCAATATCGTCAAAGTTAATTGTTATTTTTTGACGTCCAGTTTGTGGTTAAATATTTGAAGCAAGCATAATTACTTCTCTGACTTCAATGTCAATATCTGAGTTCGATGTTCGTTGTCGTTGATGGGTACTCTCCTCGTTTAGCTTGAGTATTTTGTAATAGATTTCAATAAAAGTATCGGAAGAAAGTTCAGCAAGTATCTTTTCTGACAATCTCTATTCAAGTTCAATGATGTCATTCCAAGAGACAAGCATTTCAGCGATACCATTTCTGCCTACGATAATTTCTTCTCTGATCAGAATATCATTCGTTGTTGGCATATAAGTAAACGGATCCGAAGGTATGAATATCTTGCCTCCATCAAAGGACATGCTCAATTCAATAGTACTAGCAAAATTAGCGAGAGGTGACACAGATGTAGCTCGAAATTCATTGAATATCGAACCGTTTACGGTTTCGAAGTCACCAAAACGACATAAGAGGCTCATCTGTACTACTACATCTACCAGCCTCAATGTTAGCAGTATCTACATAAGAGGCAAACAGGCCAGGAACATTAACGTTGCTTTCATTGACTAATAAGGTGATGTTCTCTGTACGAGAATATTTCAGCATCTTAAAGATAACACCATCACCAGCTGTGAAACCCATCTGAGCATATGGAGTGCTACCGCTTTGACTAGCCCATTGTAGATCGTTGTAAAGAAAAGAAAAAAACTTCGTGATTTATGTTACTAACACCATTTGAAAAGTATTGAGTTTATTAACATGTGAATTGTAGTATCATACACGATACCATATACCCACAATCACCATCAATGGTTCAAATAATATTTCTCAAGAAAAATATAGATGAACGAATAATGCGGCCTTATCAGGTATTATTGTGGTTGCATTGCTTGAATTCAACGTAGTTCGGGTGTAAACTTGATCATAAACACTATTGTTAGATGAATTATCTGTATTGCCTCTAGTATCAATATTCGACCAGAATGTAGTAATCAAACGTCGATTCTTGCCAATAGGAAATGCCAATGGGACCCAGAAAAGAGAAAAGACCATTGTTAGACTGTTAGATTTCGCGATGGTTATTATCAACGTAGGGAAATATATGCTACAGCATAATTTGACCATAACTACTATCGTTACTTCGATCCATTTTTATGTCACCCACTTCGAAAACAAAAGGCAAAGAGCCATTAAGCAATTGAACCGCTTGACTCTTCTTACGCCTTTATAAGACATATTCAACATGAAAATAACGGTTGTTAGTGTTGGTAACTGAAAATGTTATGATAGATTGCTTTATTCGAAAATAAGACTACCATAAAATTATTCGTTTATTTATTGCTTATGTCTCCCAAACAGAATTGGCAGATAAACCAATATTATATTGAAAAAAAAAAGGTGAGTTGCTTCTTGATAAAGATATTACATGTTATTCATGTGTCTACACATACAGTGTATATAGTTACTTTTCCGAATCGTGATCAAAATATGTTGATTGATAACATATTAGTAAATAAATTTCGATTGACTTTATTATTGAATAGAATATTTTTCAGAACTAGTGAGGGAAAGTAATAATTCTTAGCTACACTGTAGTTTTCTTGCGTACTTCGACATGATATGATTTCCTTCAGGATCGAAAGTCCATAGTCTCTGCTTTGCATTTGGATACATTCTTGAGATGCAGATATATCATTTGAAAAATAGACTGACCCTTCTTTTATAGAAAACAATAAATTCAATCTGCAAGTCTTAACTCATGCTTGTTACCAATTGACCAACGACGAAATATCCTCAACTAGTGGCGTAGATAGGGATAGGACCCTTTGGCAGTTGCCGATGAATATTTATGAAATCACGCCAATTGCCTAATATTGAAAAATTTTGATACACATGCATATACAAAGATCCAAGTGGTGTCATTTTAATACATTGTATCTTGTTGTGATCTAATGAAGTGATCTCGCAAGATCTATTGACTGTTTTTTATTGAAACAATGATGACAATTCAACGGTACTGTTTTTGGCTTAAATCCGTCAATGGTTCTATTTGTGCTTTTTGAAATAATACAAAAGTGAACAAACTTACCTCTTAGTTTGAAATAACAAATTTCTTTTCAATAAACATCGTTTTTATTTGTGATGGCAATAAGTTCTTAAAAAAATTGTAATCCCTTTGATTTTCAATAGTACACTGCTGTCTACTTCTCAACATAATTTAGCTGAAAAACGGTCTGTGGGTTAAAGGTTCCTGGTTGCGTTATTGTACCCAACGGTTCGGCAATGATCAAGCTCAAATCATATCGTGTTGTCTATGCATTTTCCTGTATTTCAGAGCTATTCTCTAGAGTTTTTTTTTAGCTACCTGAAGGTTACTATCAGCATATTTCTCGAGTTTATTCGTTAGAGTTCACTCGATGAATGTTTGTGACAATGAAGCCAAAATGCTTCATTAATAACTAAATCTTAAAGTGCAATGTCGTATTTGAGTGGGTATCGGGTGTGGATGTGCTCGTTATTCTTCTTGTCGTATACAATCACACTCACACCCATTCTATGTTTGATCTTATTCTATCGATTTTCTGATAATAATGATAACATATGTGAGATATCCAATCTATCTCCGATTTATTTTTCCATTCACACCTACGCTCATGGTATTATTTTTCTCATCTATATGAAGTGGTCCAGGTGTTTTACTCCATTTTTTGGTTACATTAATGTTCATGATAATTGACTGTGAAAGTAAGGAAAAATAGAACAGACTTCAAAGGTGACATGTTTACACCTGAATTTTTAATCTGTCTGCTTTCTTTCTATTGTACATGAGTTGGATGTTTTCAGAGCTAGAATGAAAAGTCCATAACAATTATGAAACTCGATACTGTTTTACATTCTTTCTTAACATGTAAATATTGTCACAAGCTTCTCTTCCTCCGTCTTTTTATTTGTATGATATTCAATTTTGCCAATGAAATTCACAATATGCGTACTATTTTTCATTCAGCATCTTGTGCGCTGTATGTTTTCTATTTTTAACCTGACGGAATATCTTTCTTAATCCATGTCGTTCAAACCGCCAGTTAATCATAGTTAACTACGGTTCTTCTGCTTAACATTTTCTTTTGTCTCTAAATGCATGAGTATTTTAAAAGTGTTTAAGCAAAAGTTAGATTTTAGCCGAAATCGAGTCCCTACATATGATGAACATGCTCAAAGCCGTCTGTGCCCATCATATCGAATATTTTTCCTTATTTTGCGAGTTTGATTATTTATTAAAGATGGCATGACAAAATTTATCATTAGCTAGACGGAGTAACTCACAGGGCAAGTAGAGCACCATCTGACACAATGTACTGTGACGTATTAAAATCGATGTTTTTTTCTTTTTGAGTTAAAATTGGTCTGTTTAGGACTGAAAATATTAATTTAATAGATAAATTTTTAAAAAGCTGATAAAAACGGAATAACTCATTCGAACCGTCGGTTTTTTTTATGAATCGCAATCAAGGCATAAATGTTATTATGAATGTCATAAACTTTTTCCAACTTGAACACTCCATCTAATTATTATTATAACAAAAACCATTAAATATACAAAAATCAACAGTACAACAAATGATGTTCAACAAAAGACAGCTTTGAAATATGGACGTTGGTAATCGTCTTCTCTTCACACACACGTATCTTAAACTAAAAAACATCAAATCGGCCAGTTTATATAAACGATATGCCATTACCATAGTTATATTTTATGATAAAAAGAGCGATAAAATTTGAAACATTCACAAAAAAACAACTATTCTAATTAAGAGTTGTCTTTATGTAAAGTCGAAATTCAGAAATTAGTTTTTCTATTATCATAACATTCAATCAAAAAAATTCACTATCATCACATCAATAAGCTGTAAAGCAGAGATGGACAAAATCGCACCGCGCCTCCCTGCGCTTCCCCGCGCCGCTGCTCACGCCTACGCTACACTAGTCTGAGTTTCGATGAGCGCATACTTAGAGCATTCCGTTATTCGGTGGAGTTTGAGAAACTGATTGGTAGAGCAAAGAGAAAGAGAGATGTGCGTAGCGCCTAGGCGTGAGCAGTGGCGCGGGGAAGCGCGGTGCGCTTTTGTCCATCTCTGCTGTAAAGTTCAAAATATTCTTTTCACAGTATTCATAATTCACTTAAGTGTCTGCATCTCAATTCAAAAGTGATTCATTAGTTGAAGAAATATCCTCTTTCAGTCTTATCAACATTTCATTATATTCAACGAAACATTGAATCAATTCAAAATTATGTTAGATTGATCTTATTAAAATAACAATACCATAGTTTAACTTTGTTATATTGAAAAGAAAAAAAAACAAATATTTAGAAATCAAAACTTTAGATTTCATTAAAATATGACCTATTACAATTGTAAAATAGTTTTTGCACAATTGAAAATGCATTTAAGCATATGTCATATATATTGTTTTTTTCCTATCATACAGAAAACATTTTCACTATTTCTAATCACTCATCTTCATCATTAATTTTATCTCTAAACCACCATGGTCTTGGTTCGTCAGCTAATCTTTTTGCATCATGTGGTATTGTAAATTCTGGTGTACCAAGTTGATGTGATGTATAAAATCGATCAATTTGTTTTTCTTGAGTTAATTTTGTTTTATCAACAACAGCTATACGATTTAGATTAGACATATAATGACGTCTTAAATGATATAACCAACAATTAATTAATGATGTAAATGGTTTTCCTATAATACATAATGATAAAATAATACCATCGTCAAGTTCATGTACAGATGGAGGTATATATAAACTAGAACCAGGTTGAAAAGGTGATCGTAGATCAGAAACTATCAAAAAAAAAACAAAAAGAAAATAATGATCAAATATGATTTTTTTAATGTTACCATCATCTGTATTAAATTTTTCTAAATCTTTTTTTTTCTGCCAATATTCTAATGAAGGATCAGCTTTTAAAACAAAATATTGTAATTGTTTTTTTCTTAAATAAACTCCATATGGACCTTCAATATAAATTGGTCTATCAATAGATAAATTAGATGCTAATTTAATTTGTTTAGGTGTATAAGTATAAATTAACCATGAATGTTCTTCAGCTGGATGTTCAATATCGGATGGATTATCTGTTGCTGAATGTATATCAATTAATTTTGTTTCCATATCAACAGTTGATGTCATACGTTGAAGTGCTAATTTTGCTAATATACGTTCATCATTAGGTAATTCCCATGGAATAGGATATGGATTTTTATTGATAAATTTAGGTGCCCAATAAAGAAAACGTGAAAAACGTCGAACAGGATGTGCCCATGGACCAAAAATTTCTCTTAACATATGTACAACTTCAAGATCAGGTGGAATACCTTGAGATTCCATAGCTGATATAATAGCTGAAGCTGTTTCATTTTGTTTTGGCCAAAATCGAACAGATACTTGTAACATTGATTGATGACGATAAGGACCAACAGGAAAAACAGATAAAAGTTTTTTATATGATTCAGAATCACGTTCAACATCAAAATCTTTCATACGTTTAAGAGCAGCTCGAATAAATTCAACATGACCACGACGATTTGGAAATTGAATTTTATATGCTTCAATAACATCCTAATTGAAAAAAAAAGCTTTTGTTATTGTTTTTTTTTGTGAAAAAAAAGTACATACAAGAAAAGCTTGTTTATTTTTTTTCTTAATTTGTTCTGAATCAAATTGTCCAGTATGAAATGCTATTTGTTTTGATGATATATATGGTCCAATCATGGAAGCAATATTTGCTTCATCATCATCATCATCATGTGTTTCATTTTCATTTTTATCTTTAGTTTGATCTTGTTCCCAATCATCATCGGAACGTGTAGCAGTTGATGAAGCATATATACGAGTTTGATATATAGGTATTCGACGAAGAAATAATGAACATAATGGTTGTACTCGATATAACATTTTTACATTTTAAAGAACTTCTATATTATTATAAGTTTTACGTTCTGTCAATTGGTTTGTCTATTATCAAAGCAACACTATGTCTCAATAGAGATCGCCAGTAAACGGAAGAGAAATATTAATAATTAGTTAGATTGACAAAAAAAAACTTCGCACAACATAAAATAAAAGTTATTAGCACAATTATCTGTGATGAGTAGAGTCCAGCGAAGTCAAAATTTTTTATTCTGAAAATTTCTTTAGAATAGTAAATAGATACATTTTTTTTTTCTTCTTAAAACTTATGAATCTATAAAGTAATACTCATTTTTGCACGTTACTTAGTGCGGTACGACTACAGTTTAGTCACACCCTTACACTGAACACAGCAATCAATGTGTGGGTGAGGGTAAGAGTATGACTAAACTGCAGTAGTATCCTTAGGAAGCTCTCTCTTACATACTCATATTTGTACTCGAGAAAATGTTTGACTTAAAATTGGTTGGAATTGTCCAGATCGATCATTCCGATTGTCTGAAATGGCCCCTTCAAACGGTGGAGAAACAATGTGATTATTGACCTAAACGATGAAAAATGATCGCCATTTTTAAAAAAATTTTCCGTCAGCTCCGATTACAAACCGTTTTTCATCGGAACGTCAAAGGTACAATTTAGGGTTGTTTTAGTCAAAAACAGACAGATACAATAACCATGTCTTCTGGATGTGAAAGTACCATTAAACATTTTTTTACATACAGTAATTCACTAGTTAAAAGAGAAACTATAATTTCAAGGATCTATTTTTTTTAGCAAGTAGATGACTATAGTTGTTTTTTGCTGTTGCCAAACATTTACGAACTATTATTTCGATCTATGATGAGTAACATCATTGAAATTTGAATAAAATTTCTACTAGATATCCATAACACAAAAGAACGAGTTCTGTCATTTATGAAATTTACCTAAGGATAAAATGATGAACGAGAAATATGCAAGGATGTGTACATGCACTCGATAATTCAATTTTAATATATCATGCCAATTATCGTGTTTCATATAATCAAAACTATGCAAAAATCGATAATTTTATCGTGATGCATTAGCTCAATTAAAAGTAGATTATATTATTATAATTAAAGTAATATTTTCGATGGTCTAACATGGTCGTTATATTTGAATCTATGACTATATCTCAATCATCGTTGTTGACCATGATGCTCATACGTATTTCTTTTATGTAACAGAAGTTATTTATTACTGTATTTTTCTGCTTTAGATTGCATTGAAATATAAACTGTTTTTTACCATTTTCGAATTATTCTATTCGACCTAGATGGTTAGAATAAGTCCTTGTAGAATTATTAATTTCATACATATTCACATAAATTAATAATTCCAACCAATGCATTCCTATTACTTGACATAACAAATGAACTTTCACTGAGTATCATCAAATATAAAAACATTTCGCCACTCTTGATAGTCATAACTAGACAGATATTTCATGTTATTTCATACTACTATGCAGATATAATTTATAAACTGGTCTAGTTTGTGAATTCTTATTTACAATACTTATATGTTATGTTATTTATTTTAAATTTACTATATAAAAAAGTATTTCATTAAGATATTAAGCGTTACTTATTTATTATTTTTAAATAAAATTAAATAATAGACAAATTATTTATATTATATATTAATTTGAAAAAATATTTTTTTTTTTATTCAGTTCGAAAAAATTCGAAAGATATTTATATTTTATTATTTTCTTACGCTAATAAAAATTTCTGTGAAAAAATTTTCCTACATGTAATGAACCACGAACTATTCTTTGTTTGTTCAATTAATTATCATTATCTTTTTTTTAAAAAAAATATTTATACAATAAGCATTGAGTTTTGAAAGATTGACTCATTGTTATCTACTAATTCATCTTGTATTGAGGATAAAGCAAGAAAAAATCCAACCAATCATTCGTTTACTGAGCGTCACTTTCATTATTTTCTTACTTTACTTGCTTGTCACCTCAGAAAGACTGCTCTCACATGTATATAGGAGACAAAATAGAAGGAGAACGCAGACAAAACTATGGTAAACTACCCACTTACTCATTACAAATCACTGAGAGTCAATGTGACCAGAAAATTATTCAAATATTTCTAGAAAAAGTTCGAGTTGACTTTGATTGATATAAAAAATGACATGGATATGACTTTTGGTTTGCATAAAATGCAGTTATAATAAAATAATGACTTGGTGACATAATTGAATGAATAGTTTTTTTTTTCTATGAACTATGTTATAAAATAATTTATTTATATTTAAAAGTTTGATTGCCGTCTCATAAAGTCAGTCAATAATAACTTATCAGTATGTCTATGCCATAAAAATTACATTTTACAAAAAAAAAAAAAAATTCTGTATGTTCATATACTAAATAATAATTGCCATTGTGGTGATGGAGGACTTTGTTCTTCTTGTGATTCCTTAGAATAATAATGAATTGGTGATAGTATTTGTTGGTTGTTTTGTTCAACATCTAATAACGTAGTTGATGTTGTTCGACCAATGAATTCATATAGTGAATTTGATTGTTGAAATTTTCCTTCAAGATCTTGTTTATATTTATGAAGACTTTCGATTTGCATTAATAAATCCTTATGTTTCGTTTCTAATTCTTGGACTTGAGTTTTTAATTCATTTTCAATATTATCTCGAATTTTTTTCAAATTTCTTGCTGATTCACGATTTTTCATACGTCGTATTTCACGTTTCATGGCTTCTTCACCTTCCATTAGTGCATCTTTTGAACGACGTCCAGTAGCTAATGTTGGAGCAGCCAAATGACGTTTTCTTACAAGTATAGGACCATAATTTACAGCTGAAGTACGTCGAAATTTATAAGGTTTTTCTGGCTGTGATGAATCCATACTTGTAACATCAACTATAACTGGCATTGTGTCTTTTTGACATTCATAATTTAATGTTGATAAATTGCTATTATGCACATGGATTGTGTCATTGATTGTCGATTCTGACGCAGATAAAAATGATGAACCTACAGTACCCATTAATATCTATCGATAAATAATTGTTAAATAGAAAACGAGCAAATAACCACGATTTCAACAATAGTTTAATAGCTTGTATCTATATTAATCGTAAAAAGAAAAAAAAAGAAAAAGAAAATACTTTTAACAAACAAATTCATTCAACTGTGACTTACTCATAGCTGCCTGTTACATGTATTTATATTTATAACAGAAAAATGAAGAAATATGATAAAAATAAATGACGATCTTGTTTTTTTTTTAACCTGTTGATTGACATAGATGTATTATCACGCTTGTTTATTTTTCTTAAATTTGATTGAATTAATAATAATTTTAAAAAAATCTTATATTTCATAATTAAACATTATTGCGTTTGAATGAATATTTATGGTCATCTGATCAACAAAAATAGAGCTGATTATTTTTGAAAATCAAACCAATATTATTATTCACCTGTCTTATTTGTTAAGTCACATTGACTTGTGCCTATTGTCTCTAATATAATAAAGAACAAAAAAAGATTATTATATAAATATTTTTTATCTGCTGTAGTTACACGATTAATCGTCCTTAAGCATGAGGTGTATACAGACGAGAACTGTAAGACACCAATAGAAATGGTTTTCTTTGTTTTTTTTTTCTATAATAGTAACGAATGTGCTCTTTCTTTACTCTATTCAATAGAGAGCAAGAGACACAAACTGTACTGGTTTACACTACAGACTAATTGCAAAGTTTTTTAATACAAAAAACAAAAAAATATATAATCGATTCATATACAAATATATGTATTATACTTTGATTAAAAAATTTACTTTTAAATGAACAATACATAGATTATTTAATTAAGAGACATATTATACTGATGATATTAATATACATACAGTGGCTACCAAAATTATTCAACCAGGTTTATTTTCAATTTTTTTCTCCTACCTTAACCGCTAGAAACTCTCTAAATAGTGATTCGAATAGAGAAAATGGTTTCCAACAAGAATATAAGAAAATAAAAATTATAATTAGATTTCCAAGAACTGGGTCTCCAGAAAACCAAACCCTAGCTTTTCAGAATCCAGAAGCCGGGATTCATTTTTGTTTTAACAGACTAGAATGATAGAACAGTCAATTCTCTACAAAATAAGACGTCTCAGAGCTATCTACGATCTTCTCTTCAAAAGTTATAAGCATTACAAAAACCAAAAAAAACACGTTTTTAGTCGATTTTTAGCAATTTTCTCATAGATTTCACTTTTTTCGGTTTTTGTAATGCTTATAACTTTTGAAGAGAAGATCGCAGATAGCTCTGAGACGTCTTATTTTGTAGAGAATTGACTGTTATCTCATTCTAGTCTGTTATAACAAAAATGAATCG